TTCTCTTCAAAGACAGAGGGACAATAGCAAAATCTGATTTATTAGAAAAAGAAATGTCTATGATTAACATTTACTGTCCTCTCGCCAGATATGTTTCAAGGCAAATTGTCAATAGTTGTTGCTTTATCAGATTCTGCTGACATAAAATCATACAACACAAAACTGAGCTTTGTACTGCTATGGCTAACAAAAACTTAATTACTTTAATCTTAATTTATATCATTAAATGGCTTAGAATGCTGAACAATACAGACTAAATACAGAATTAATATTTGAATGAATCAAGTGCAAGAAAAAGTGAATGACATTCGAGTAACTTGAGAATTATAATAGTTAATCAATCGAGAGAGCAACTTTTACCACAAATCACAATTGGTGTCCCCCGGGGATCAGTATGGGGCCCAGTGCTACTTAATGTCTTCATGACATTAATGTGATCTAGAAGATAGGATAAAGACAAAGTTTTCTGATGATACCAAACTGAGTGGGGAAGTGGGCACCTGGGAAGGGAGAAGCATCCTGCAGGAAGACCTTGATAGGCTGGAAGAGTGGGCTAACAAGAACCTTATGAAGCTCAACAAGGAGAAGTCTTGCCCCTGGAAAAGCATAATCCAGGAGTGCAGCATGGGCTGGGATCTACCCTTTTGGGGAGCAGCTATGTGGGAAGGAACTGGGAGTCCTGGTGGACAAAGCTCGGTGTGAGGGACTGTGTGCTGCTGTGGTACAGCAAGGTGACAGGATGCTGGGTGGCATGAAGGGCATCACCAGCAGAGATGAAGAAATCATTATCCCACTCTAATCAGTGCTTTTCAGGCATCACCTGGAATACTGTGTTCAGTTTTGGTGCCTGCTATACAAAAAAGACGTGGACAGGCTGGACATGATCTGGAGAAGGGTCACAAAAGATGATTGGAGGCTTGGGAAGCCTGCCATGTGATGAACAGCTGAGAGAACTGGGTTTGTTCAGCCTTGAGAAAGGAAGGCTTACAGGAGACCTTATCCCCATGTTCCAGTATTTAACAAATGGCTACAGAGAAGATGGAGACTCCCTTTTTACAAGGAGTCACATGTAAAAGATGAGAAGTGATGGGTACAAGTTACTGCTGGCGAAATTCCAATTGGACACCAGAGGAAAATTTTTCACAATGAGAATGATCAGCCATTGGACTAATCTCCCCAGGGAAGTGGTGTATTCTGTAATGTTGGACACTTTTAAGGTTCAGCTGAAGAGGGTGCTGGGCCATCTTGTCTAGACCATGCTTTTACCAAGAAAGGTTGGACCAGATGATCCTTCAGGTCCCTTTCCAACCTAGTATTCTATGATTATATTATTTTATACACAAATCTATAGATGGTATTAGAAGCCGGTCTTGTGTTCTTTTGCCTTGTTGGAACAACTGTATGCTTGGCTCCCCTTTCCAGCCCCTTGTAAGCCTGGCCTCCAGGCCATGCTCTCTGCCGTGTTTCATTCATGGGCAAGATACTTTGCTTTTGGCTCTGTGCAGCCCATCCAGTGCTCACTTCCATCTTTCTCAAGGGACTCTTCAAAAAACAAAACCAAGAGACCACTTGCTGGTTTGTGCTGTCCACAAACAACTGAAAACCTCTTTCTCTTCCTTCCACATTTTTCTTAAGACTCTCTTGTTACAGAAGCTGTGAGAGAAAAACTTGGTAACCAGCAGGCTATGGATTTGATGAAGTTATTGTTGGTATCCTGTTCAGGGTTATCACACTTGTGCCCTGTGCTCCATCTCCGTGTGTCTTGTCTGAAAAGCAGATTGTCAGGTACTGGAGGCAGAAACTGTGAGCACAGATCCCAGGTTGTGTGGTAATGCAAATAAATAACCAAAGCAAGAGAGCTGCATGCGGGAGAGTCCCAGGGACTAAAAAGCAGCTACAGAAAGGCAGGGATATAGGCAGTTAGGCTTAAACTTCTGTCAAGGAAGCAATGAGATGTAACGGGCGTGGTCAGGCTCTGCCCCATGGACAGTGGTATGAGTAATCAGCGCTGAGAATTTACAGTGTTTTTTCCCCTTGTGGATCATCTCACCACTGACTGGCCTCTAAATGGTTTTTGCTCAGCTTAGCAGCTGTTTGCACACGTGTTTGATCTAGATCAAGGCTACGGTGTTATCTGTAGAAACAGCTCTCTGGCTTTTTTGTGTTGCATGAAATGGTTGTGCAGTGCTCCTTAGGGGTGGAAGAGCACAGAGACTGATGAGCTATTCCCATTGCATTTAACCATTGCGCCTATTTAAAAGCAGAACAAGACTTTCCAAGTAGCATCACAATCTCTCCTGCCCCTGCTACCCCTGCTATATCTTACTTTGTTCTTTTCACATGGGATTTTTTCCTTCTCATCTGTCTGCATCCATGTTCCCAGGAACAGAGAGGTGGTTCTTTTTCAGGCATTTCTGATTGCAGGTAGTTGAACAGTTAAATGCTTTGATTTGCTGGCTTCTAATGTAAGCAATGGTTTGCTCTGCTGCTGGGTGGTAAAGCATCATCTGTCTGTTTTGTTCAAACTGCAGGAGTCAATAAGATGACCTCTGCAGCCTGTGACTGTGTCTTCAGTAGTTACTGTGAAGCAAGAGGCAAAGCTTCTCTTTAATCAAGCACTACTGTCTGGGCAGGTTGGGAGAGTCAGGAAGGGACCCTGCACAGCTCAGCCATTGCTTTGAGTATTTGAGCTTTGAGATAAGTATGTTATGAGAAGTCTGTGCCTCTCCACTTGCTGTTACCATGAAATCAGAGTGCATTGCTCTTGTGGGTATGTTGAATTGGCTTAATGGAATCATCTTTGTTCACTTTTCCTGGCAAGCAGGAGGAACTAGTTATTAATTAAATAAAAAATGATAAATACTAGTGATAGTGCTAAGAGGCACATGAGAAGCTTTCTGTCTGCCCTGAAATGGGACTCGTAGAAAGGAGGTTTGGTAGTGAAAATATTACTTTTTTTTAAATTATTATTATTATGCTCGGTGTTTAAGAAAGGACTCGACATGGCATGTAGTGTTCAAAGGTTGGACTCAATGATCTCAGAGGTCTTTTCCAAACTAAATGGTTCTGTGATTCTGTGAAATTATGGGCTGTAGTCAGTATTTCTCCAGGAACTTTCTGTACTTTTTTAAAAAAAGTTCTAAGTCATTAAAGTCCTGATGGCTACATTTTGGCAGAGCTGCTGCAGCCTTTTGAGGGGCTGAGTTTTGGGTAATGGCTTTTCAGCTCAGAGCATACATACTATGAATCAGTAGCTTTCAGGAGTTGCTCAGTGCTCTAGTTTTGGTAAAAAGAAATGGATGTATCTTCTTGGTCCTGTTTCTGGCTCAGCTCTAAGGCAGGTTTGCTGTTAAACATGGGCTCTAGGTTTGAGAATGATGGAGAGGTAAACCTGAAAAACTTCCTTGTTGGCAGCAGCTGCACTGGCATTTCAGATCCAGCTTCTTAATTCAGTGATGTTGGGTTTTACCTACCAAAGGGCTTGTGATCTTTAGAGAAAAATGGCAACTGGCCCAAACCAATGTACAGTCAGAAAGATACATAGTGTGGTCGTGCTGGTTGCGCAGAACAGGAAATAGTGATGAACAGAGAAGAAGGAACTGCTGGTGTTTAGTCTGAGATGGCTGCAGGGCTCAGCAGGATGAATGCACAGCTTATGCAGGTATGTCCAAGATAAAGCAATACTTTATATTTAATGTAGTTTGGCCAACCAGCCAGGAAACACTGCATAAAAGTTGTCATTAGCTCTTAAATGTAGGCAGTGATGAAATCCCTTCACAGAGAATGGATATCACTCACTAATGGATTATGCTGCCCCAAAGAACTTAGGTCATTCATGTCCATGGTGTTGTGTCATCATGAGAAAAATGCTGGAGGAAGGACTTTCTTTTGTGAAATGTCTGGCATTCATAGACATTGATTTTAGACAGTTGGATGATGTTTTTTGTGGTTTGTGTAAATTAACTGCTTACTAGCTAGGATCCCCCTTTTTGTCCTCAGTAGGAAAGATTTCTTGCATGTGGCTGAATTTCTTTGAACAAAAAATTAAGGAAACGTAACGTACTGCAGAAAACCTGCAGAAAAGTGAATGGAAGAAGGCGTGAACAAGTCTTCAGAGCTGTACTTGGTAATCTCTTAGTATAGCACATAACTTTCTGCCCACTTCTAGAAGGTGGCAGCACATTGACTAGCTGTTTTCGTCAAGATGCCAGTTTGAATAAAGGGATTTACAGTGTGGGACAAGTTAATCAGAAATATTTTTGGGATCTGAATGGCTGTATTAATTTTCTGGATAAACTGGTTGTGTTTAAGCAAAAATTGTTTTTTGGAATTCTTCCTGTTCTTCTAAATAAAATTTCAAGGAAAACAGAAATCAAATTTTGATAGCTGTGAGTTGTCCTGATTTTAGCTCCTTCCTACATATCTTGTACGAGGGAGATGTGTGTTTAATTCACTGTGATTTTTTTTTAGCAGGCCCCTAAGAGATCACTTTAGCACTAGCATATTAGGCATTTTGATTAAATCTCCTGTCACACATTGTGTGTGCAGGGACACTAAGGTGACTTGCAATTTCTTTAATTAAGTCCTTCACTGCTTAGAGACTGGTCCTCACAGAGAAAACTGTGAACAGGAGAGACAATCAGATGGGTAAAACGTCTAGTCCGAGCTTCTCAGTTCCAAACTGAGGTGCAGCAGGGTGTTCAGGCAGTTCAGTAAGATGGGGAGTTGAGGCTTTTGCTCCTGCATCACTAGAAAAGTGAAATAGGAACTAGTTAGTGGAACTAGGCCATTATCATATGAAATAAGCCTTTCACAAGATAAACCACAGGGTAACTCCAAATTTAGTTAAAAGGCTGCATGGCATATGGCAGGGAACAAGCAGTAAAGGAAGAGCAGTTTCCTCCTAATCCTGGTACTTAGGAGTGGGCAGTGACCATTACTATGTGTGCTGCATTTGGTGTTAAACTGACTGTTAAACTTCTTTCTGTTTTTATTTATAGGGCTCTTCCTTATCTTAGGCTTGATGCTTTACCCTGCAGGTTGGGGATGTCAGAAGGCAATAAGCTATTGTGGACCTTATGCTTCTGCTTACAAACTAGGAGACTGCTCCTTGGGCTGGGCTTTCTACACAGCCATCGGTGGCACTGTTCTGACGTTCATCTGTGCAGTCTTCTCGGCGCAAGCTGAAATAGCCACGTCCAGTGACAAAGTGCAAGAAGAAATAGAAGAAGGAAAAAACCTTATCTGCCTCCTTTAACTACAGTGGGGAAAAATACCAGCATCTGGATCTTTATCTGCTTTCCATTGACTGGACAAGCAGATCCACTTACCTGTTATTACCATTTGTGTGACTGAGCCCCATGCATTCCAGCCCCGAACTACTGAAAGGGTCTTTCTTCCTTGCTGGGCAATGGGGATCAGAGAAAGGATCCCAAGAAAGCAGAATGTAAATACTTGGGGATATTTTTAGTTTCATTCTGTGATCAGGACACAGTGGAATATATTGATCTGACTGGGGATGTGAGTAAACACCTGTATATAGCAGGAATGTTGTTATAACTGACAAATTCTGATTGATTGGATTGCCTAACCCACCCTGGTCACTTTGAAGAATTTGGGTTGAAAATAATAAAAGCTAGCACATTTTTTCTTTTCTTATGCAAAAAAGAAGCCTATTTTACTAAGGTTTTGTTTCCAAGGGCTCCCCTCACTGGTGAATATTTCTTCACCACCACCTGATTTGGTACCATACTTTTCATTGAGGTGCTTTTTGATACTGAACTTCCTGAAAGTACAGTGCCTTCTTGGATAGGAAGTCTATGCTGGAGAGAGCAAAGCTGACTTGATGCAGTTCACACCAATCCTTAAGCATTTAGAAAGTTAAGTCCCTAGCAGGTTTCTCTGTCTTGAAACTTAAGAGTGCAAGGTGTGTGCCACTTGTTACTTAGCAGGTAAATTATTTTGTTTCCACTGACTAGACAGAAAAGTTGTTGTTGCACTGGCTCTCACCTCTCACCTGATTCAGATAAAATTGAAGTATTTCTACAGCCTTTATTAAAACTTCTGAACTCCCAAGCAGATGATAACTCCCCATGGCACCAGCCTGACCTGGCCTATAGCCTCTCCTACAGCTGTGGATCTCAAGTTTTACTTCAGCAGCATTTCTTTTTCTCTCATCAATGAAACCTCATTCACCGTCTACAGATCAGTCTGTCTCATGACCCAGAGGCACATTAGTCTTTAGGAAATTAAAATTTTTCAGGAAGTCTGGCCAAATTCTACATGGCTGGGAAGATTTTGTCTTTTTTTTTTTTTTTTTTTTTTAAATTTTGTGTGGTATGGAGCTTTTTCCAATTAAACCAGCAGAAATTAAACAGACCTTGCACAAATGACATTCCTTTCTCGAAGGCAGTTGGTTGTGTTACTTGTGATGTAACTTTACTACTTCGTAAAACAAGTTTGAAAGGTATTTAAAAAAAAAAACATTATATAGCTGTGCCATAGGAGCATTGGGGATAATTCATCTGAGAAATAGTTCTAATGAAATACTAAGTGAATTTTAGATTCCTCTTCTTATTTCTTGGTAGTTTAACATCATCCAAATGACAGTGTTGCTTCACTGTGTAATACGAAGCAGATATTCTTGTTGATGTGTGGTCAGTCCCTTAAAGTGTGCCATTAGTTATTTATAGGTATTAAAAATCATTGCTACTGTACAGGTAGATAGCCAATTTCAAGACACTGCTCAAGTCCTTTGCAATACCAGAGCTGCTCAGCAGCCCTGACCACATGCCCAGGGCCAGCCTCAAGGAGGGGGTGAACAGCTGCAGAGTTGGGGCCCTCTTCCAGCACCTGCCATGCCCTACGGACGCTGTGGCACACAGAGAGCAGCTCCCAGCCTGCACCTGTCTGTGCCTAGTGCTCCTTCAGACCATGTGCTGGACAGATACAGAGGTGACCTTTGAGACAAAGTGCAATGAATAAGGTCAACTTTTGCCTATCTGCAGAAAGGGACTGTTTTAATCTAGCCTCTTCCTGCATTCACCTGCTCCTGCAACCCACACCCACAATCTTCTAGTTTAAAACGGGTAATTCGCTTCTCTTTTAAATATTTATAAATATTTAAACACACCCTCCCTCAAAAGTTATGGTCTGGGACCATTTCTGCCAACTGCCTGCACAAAGCACAATTTTAACAAAGCAAAATTAGCAGCACAAAGTGGTACCTGAGGATGAAAATCACAGCCTGCACACTCTGTCCACACCTGTGTTTGTCTCCTTGGTTTTGCCCCATAAACACACCCCCCACACCTGAATGGCATGCACTGGGCTTGTCCCTGGGGTCCAGTGAGGCGTCCTCTAGGCGTCCCTCCTGAGCCCCCACTGGAGCGTGTGCTGGAGCCTGGCTACCAGCTGAGCTCTGCTGTTGGGAAATGGGGGGCTAGCAGTTGTACGAGTAGCATATAACTCAGCTAAAAATTAATGAATAAGTAGATTTACTGTTTTAGATTTCCTGGGTGGGTGGCAATCCAATGTCCAGGTCACCACTGCCAACAAATCTTGACACTATATTAGGGTGAGAAATGCTGCTTTGGCTTGAGCACTTGATTAGTCAGAATCAAGTCAGTTCTTCCAAAGGTATAGAGGGCATACACCACTCTGGCTGAGATGCAAACAATGAGCAACCTTCACTTACATTACTAGCTGACCTCTGCTGTGATCTACACAATGCTTAAAAAAATTTCAATAGTGCATTTTTGGGGTTTTTTAAGTACAAAGGAGATATTTTCAGTGGCATATTTGCTTTTGTTTGCATTTGTAACCAAGAAGAACCAGCTTTTCTGCTTATTGCTGGTATATTATCAGCTTGCTCTGCAACAGCATAATCAAATAACTTGCAGGAATACCCATGTTCATCACATTGCACAGATAGAAGACAGGCTGGGAAGAAATACAGAATAAAAATAATCAGAATTTCTTTTCTCAGGGTTCTGTTTTTCTAGCAAGTGATAAGATGGTATATATTGCAGATTTTTTTTCCTGGATGAGGTTGTCAGGTGCAGGATGCACTCAGTAAATTTCACAGCTGTTTAAATTGCTCCTGAAGTTCACCTCAGCAGCAGCTTTGGGGAAAAAAAAAAGAAAGAAAAATCAGCTTAAAGCTAATTTAACTGATTTCACGAGTGGGCTGCAGAGTGTAACTGCTTCTTAATGTACATGCACTGCATAGATCTAGAAGAATTTGCTGTGGATTCTTTCAAACCTGTGTGCCAATTAATTCAGTTTAACTTTGTTTTTGTGGTATTGAAGAATTCTTCAAACATCTGTGGTTTCATCAACTTCTTAAACTTGTATTCAATAAAGTGCCATAGACCTCTTTAACTGTAGCATATTTAAATATATATGTATATATATATGTATATACATATATATATATATACAAACTTGTGTGAGATGTGCAATACCAGGAATAGATTTTGTGGTGGGCTTTTTTGTTTTTTAGTTTTTGCTTTTAAACCAGTGATTTGAAAAGGGACTTCCCAGGGAAGAAGTGGCCGGAATTTGGTGGTGTGGATATAGAGTAATGCAATAGAATCACTGATGCTGAAGATAAATACAACAGTAGTAAAAGTGGCTTGAAGAGTTAACAAAAATATCTTCTACATTGATTTGAATTACTTAGATCTATGTAATACAAACACTTCCAATGTGAAGTTGTGTCCACCTCTGGCCACACTCTACAAGCTGAAAAGGTTCAGCAAGGTTTCTTGATGTGCTTTATTTGTAATGCAGCACTGCAAAAAAACATTGCTACTGAGCTATTATTTCTAGGTTGTCTATATCACCTTTGTATCTATTTTACTTAATAAAGTTCTCTAGATTCTGAGATTTTTTTTCAGCTAAATCATTTCCATTTTGCTTTGTTACCCCCATCAGAGTTTCTTATGTCCTAGTGGTAAATGGAAAGGAATTCAGGCCTTCCTTGAAAGCCATGGGCACTTTTGCCTACCTCAAGGAAAGGACAGAGTCCAACAAAAGCAGAGCATGGCAGCAACACAGACACCACAGCTCCTCTGTATAAGAAGTGTGGCTGCACCGATCCAGCTAGAGTAGTTTTTGAGCCATGGTTTATTTGTGGTACTATTTTTCTGTTCTTGAGTCACCACTATGTACATTTGTTAGCATGAATGATGTAACTAGTGCCTTATTTTTAATCTAAATTTCAATTAAAATGTGAGTTTTTAAACTTTTAACAGGAGTCTGACTACCTTAATTCAAATATATTGTACAAGCTGAGCCACACTCAGGTAGCTTTAATTGTAGCTTTAAGAGCATTTAAGATCCCAGTCCAATGATATATTTCAGATTCCCATCTGACTTTAACAATTCTTACTGCTTACTAATCAAAAGTATGTGATCTGAACTTGTAACTGTGTTATACATTACAGTTGCATTAGCAAGACTTTTTAATTGAATATAGGTCTGAGAAGTGTGTTTCATTTTGCAACAAAAGCACTGCAGTTCCTTTTCTCATGAAAAGGAGTAACAAAGATTGTAAAACAAATATTGCTTGATCACACATGGAGTTTTAAAATGGTGTTTGCCACAGTGCGTCTTACCTTTCAACTGTGACTTGGCAAACACTAGAGAAAAGCTACAAAGCCAATCTACAGCAGAACCAGGAGTAAGGTTTTCAGCAGTTTAAAGAAAAGTCAGGATGGTTACTTATTTCTCATAGTTGCTACGGTCCACTTGTATTAAATTTATATATAATTAATTGCATGTAGTTTAATTACACTTATAACAGTTTCCAAACGAGGTTAAAACTTGGAACATTTAGAAACCTACACTGCAGAGGTAGTTAGGGAATAGGTGCCACTCAATACACCTTAGTCACCTTTATGAATTTCAAAGCAGATATAGATACAGCAGTTATTCTATAAATAAAAAATACTGCTTGAAGAAATTATGAAGTACTGATTTGAATGGCTAAAAATATTACCTTCATATTTCAGTGAAGTTAATCAAGTTAGCAATAGGGAGCACAGAGTGTAAGTCTCTACTTGTGTGTATTGTTACAGATTTCTGTATTCTTCCCCAAGCTCCAGCTGGGTTGAGAAAGGTGATGCAATGACAAAGTGGATGTATATTACCCATATCAGAGGAACAGGAATATAAAGAAGTTGTCTTGTTCTGTGATTCACTGAAAGCTTTTTTTCAAATAGAGTATCTTCATATTGGTGGGATTCTGAGAGCATAGTCCCTAACTGGCTTTAGGTATCACTCAGATGCAGTGGGATCAGTAATTTGGTCTGACCAAGGTAAAGAAAAAAGAATTCCCAATTTAGTGACATAGGTCATAGGTGTGACTTGATGATCTCAGAGGTCTTTTCCAACCTAATTGATTCTATATTCTGACCACTTCCAATTGTTCTCTTACGTTGGACAAAAAGTATCATTGCAATGCCCCATCCAGGATATCCACTTTTTCTTCTAAAACTTCAAAAATACATGCACAACAAAGACAACGACCCTGCACTGCAAAACAGCAACTGTGCTTTGCCATGTACACAATGACTATGGCTCAGGCATACACAACTATTTAATTAGCCTATAAACATGAGAAAATCTCCTTGCAGCACTGTCAGCTGGAAGAGTGGCAGAGCAGCTGATGCCACAGAAGCACCAGTGGTCAGAGGCAGCTGTTCTGTACAGTGGCCTGGCCTCCGGCCACTGTATCCTACCCAGCTCCAGCTGTACACAGTTGAGAGCAGAAATGGTGAGAGCATGGTCACAAGTAACTGGACTTCAAATGAGGCTGTTTTCAAGGCCCCTGCAGTAGCCCTGTTCCAAGCATACTTCCAATTACAAATACAGCCCCAAACTTTATCAAAAATCAGTCCCTGACATTTCCCATCTTTCCAGCTGGAAGATTCCCTTCCTGAATCATGGTACAAAGAAGAAAAACCTGGTATTTTCAGCACTCTAAACAGAAACTCCTCTGAATTTGTTTTCCTTCACCACTGAATGATGTAACAGCAACGTGCAGGAACACTCACTGAAGCAGGATATATATATATATATATATAAAATTAGTCATATGGCAGCACTGAGTGTATTGAGACACAACAGAATGAATTAAAAGCATCACTGTTTGATGTAATCACTTTCATCCAACAAAAACCACATTTTAGATGAGCTTCAATTAAACAGCTGAAGCTGTTTTTTCCAGAACAAAATGTACGGCAGCATGAGCCACAAGTGTTTCATGCAATGCTTTTTTTCTCCCCATCAGTAGTGTGTGATTCAGTATCCAGTTTAATCCTTGCATAAAGTTGAACTGGCATTCTACTGCTGAGCTAAGGAATCTGCACCTACTTCCTTTGTAAATATTCCTGATTTTTCTACTGATGAGATTTAAAACTACTTGCAAGCATAAAATTAATTTGTAGAAAAAAAGTACAAACTAATTCTCACACATTTTAATGTGAATCAAACCTAATTGTTTTAATTATCAAACCTACTGTGCCTTACTACTGATTCATAACCAGAATGCTCTAGGTGTGTCCCTTTTCCTTGGCTGAAATATATTTCCAGAAGTATCACTGAATATTTTTAATCACAGTTCTCTTCCCCCATGCTTTTCTCTTGGGGTGTGTGTGCCTTCCCAACTCCATGCTCACAACTCCTTGAGGAAAACTAGCCTTAACAAACCAGAGGAATTATTTCCCCCCAACAACACTAAAATTGTGTAATAATTCTAACCGTAAAATGTGACTGGATCATACAGCACAACCATACTGACATTTAAAAAACCTGTTCATTTAGTCTGCTGTCAATGCCACCCTGGATCTGTAAATTACAAAGAAATAGATCAAGTTGACAGAACATTTCAATACTGATTTGTATGCATGTGCAAGTGTCTTCAAAAGTCTGCCATCTCCCAAAATAATCCTGACTTTCCCTCAGAACACTGTCCTTTGTACTGTGCATTTGCAAACTTAACTATATCACAGCAGTCTAGATGAAGTTGTTTTGCCCTTCAAAGAAAACCCAGTATACCTGAGAGCAGATGCTACAATTGTCATTATATGAAAAAAAAAAAATCAACAGATTGTGATAGTGCCTAAAAAACAAAAACAAGACAGCAGTGACACAGAAATGTTGATCATTGACACAAATTAGAAAAATGAACACTACCAAAGCAATACTGTTTTCAGCAACTTCATTTTACTTTCAATATTAAGAGTCACTTAATACCTCTAGGATTTCATTCAGACATGAAAGAACATGTTTAGATTTTACCTCTCGTGAGTTTACAGCACAAGAAAGTGAACTGCAAGTATTTTAAGAATTTTCTTTGTAACAGCTGAGTAGACTAATTCTCAATAACCAGATTTATTGATAGTGAACTTTTTGCTTCCCCATTTCACAGCAGAATTACAGCATCTATATACAGAATTATAAAAAGCAAGTCAGACTTACACACATCATCCTCCCTGCATATAATCCTGACAGTTAGAAGAAATATCCCCATATTAGTTGAAACTATACAGAGCAAACACCCAGGAAAAAAGTCTTTTTTTATTCTATGACACTGTGTTAATACAATAAATATACAAAACTTCTGAACTACTCATACATGCAACAAAGGGACGGAAGAAGTGCAGAACCATATACATTCACCAGGATGGCAGAGCATTGTTAGTAATTTACAAAATATACAAACATCTTCAGATAAATAAAAACAACTGCTAAATTACAGATCAATGACTACTGACATTCCAGTGTTTAAACTTCATACTTTTTACTCAATTTGTTACAATACTACAAAATGACAACTCAAGTGGGCGCCATACTCTGATTAATTAATAAGAGATTGTAAAGTCTAGTATTTGTTAGATACAAAATATTTTAGCCAATCTCAGCCTTCTGTTGTCAAAGCTAAACAAACTTCTCCCTCCTTTTTGGGCTGCAAAGTGTCAGAGATTTCTGGTCTAAACAATTCATGTGTAACAGAACCTTGAATTTCATTCAGAAGGCTTAAATCTGTACATCCAACTCACAACATTACAAATCAACAATTCTTATACACAGAACATTACATATATTTCCTCAAGGAACCTTTAAACATTTAAGAAAAAAATCTACCTGTCAAATTCAGGTATTTTTCCTAATGTGTATTTTTTCCCCCCATAATATATTTTGGTAATGTATGCTATTATGCCATCTTCAACTTCAGTTAAATCGTAAGGATGATGTCTCTGGGATTCCTATCCAAGAGATACTGTAAGAATTGCCTAAATTTAGATTTAACAGTAATCCATAGCAGAGTTCCTACATACAACTTTCAAGTTAAGTTTAAAATATTATGAAAAGAATAATCTTGATATACAGCTGCTAGAAGATTGGTGCCCAATCTTAGCAGAGAACAGTGACTTTTATCTGTAAAGCTTTAAAAACACTCCATACAAATTTAAGTTCACTGCTAGCATGTCCACTAGTATGAAATTTTAGTGGCCTTGTTACATAGAGTATTTAAAGCAAATGGATTCATTAATATGAACTTCAGCATAGGTGAAGCTACTATGACATTTATCCAAATTCAAGTTGGATTTAAAGAAATCAGTAAAAGAAAGGAGACTAATAGGGGACTTCATGCTAACAGTATCCTACTGATCCAGGGATTAAGCTAGGGGTGTATTTTTTTTAAATGATCTTCTGTTATTATGAATAGAGTGTAGTGAAAAAGAATCCATGAAATTCAGTTCACATTCAGCACATGGAGGAGGCTTAGAATATTATACTGTCTTAATAAAGGTGATTCACCTTAAAAGCTGAATTAATTTCAGCCATGGTATGTACTTACACAGATTGTGGGATGTTGTCTTTCCTGTTTTCATTTTCTAAAATGGTTTGAAAAACTGCCCAAGTATTGTATGTAAGACTCATTAAGCAATCCAAGAATACAAACAATCTTCAAAGGAGAGAAACATGTCACTATACTAAGATCCGATTATATGATATTCTAAAATATTACGATGGTATGTACCACCCTGAGATTAGCTCAGTTGGTCAGAGCATGGTGCTAATAACACCAAGGCTGTGGGTTTGATCCCCATTATGGGCCATTCAGTCCCATATGGACCACTCACTTAAGAGTTGGACTTGATAATCCTTTTGGGTCCCTTCCAACTCAGAATATTCTGTGAAATTATTATGGATTGTTCAGTTTCACAGCACCAATTTAACC